ACACACACACACACAGCAGACAACCCCCCTGTTGCTCCCTGACTCCTCAGGGTACTGCGGAGGAGGTGCTCCTTTCATCGTCTCTCACCAGAGCTCAGATTGGTTATTAAGCATCAGGGTCCGGCTCTGCCACTTCAAGTGACTCTCCTGCTGCTGCTGCTGCTGCTGCTCTCCATCGACACACAGTAACACAGCAGAGACCAAGAAAAAGTTAAAAGGTTGGGAGATTGAGCTCTGCTTTAAAGGTAAAGTCATCAGAGTCATTTTTAAAGTCATTTTAGACCAGGATGTTATTTTTGCTTTCAGTGTTGAAGTTAAAAGGATCACACTTGTGGTTTTTGCATGTTTTAGGCTTCATATTGAACTGTTTTTTAAAATAATGTTGTTGTGTTTCGCATTTTTGAATATATTTTTCCAGCCATCCACTGGTTTCTAAGGCAATGCAATCATTTAAAATCATTGACATTTTACATTACCTTGCAACCATAATGAAACTGAAAAATAATGCAGGCTATTTTCACTGTTGTAGATTACCTATCTGTATCACGTTTCAAAACACTGCTAACAAATGTTCATACATAATGTACATAAATGAACAGAAACCAACGCCTGCATGTCAGCAGAAATGTAAAGTCTACATAACTTTAAGAGAGAGCACAGGGTTGCTTCTGTAATGGTCTTATTCTTCTCTCCTCAGCTGCTTGTTGAGTTTTGATTTCATACTTTACTGTGCCGGTGCTTAGTGGAGGTTGGCATGCCCTGGACCAGACCCCAGGTGGACCTACATGCTGGTGGAGCAGAGGCCATGAACCAGTATAACATAGAGGACCACCACTACGAGGGCTCCCTGTTCCCCACCTCCACTCTCATCCCTGTCACTGTCATCTGCATTCTCATCTTCATCATCGGGGTTACGGGCAACACCATGACCATCCTCATCATCCAGCACTTTAAGGACATGAAGACCACCACCAACCTCTACCTATCCAGCATGGCGGTGTCTGACCTCATCATCTTCCTCTGCCTGCCCTTTGACCTCTACCGGCTGTGGAAGTACGTGCCCTGGCTGTTTGGGGAGGCAGTGTGCCGCTTCTATCACTACATCTTTGAGGGATGCACCTCGGCCACCATCCTTCACATCACGGCCCTGAGCATTGAGCGCTACCTGGCCATCAGCTTCCCCCTCAGGAGTAAGGTGCTGGTGACCAGACGCAGGGTCCAGTACATCATCTTCGCCCTGTGGGGTTTCGCCCTGATTTCTGCAGCTCCCACACTCTTCCTGGTCGGGGTGGAGTATGACAATGACACACACCCGGACTACAATACTGGCCAGTGCAAGCACACCAACTACGCCATCATCTCTGGGCAACTGCACATCATGCTCTGGGTGTCCACCACCTACTTTTTCTGCCCAATGCTCTGCCTTATCTTCCTCTACGGCTCCATCGGGTGCAAGTTGTGGAAAAGCAAAAATGACATGCAAGGCCACTGTGCTTTGGCACGTGAAAGGTCACACAGGCAAACAGTCAAGATCCTGGGTAAGTGGGTTATTTCTTCACTATTTTCATCTCTACAGACAGATCTGGTTCTTGTATGCTGATATCAGGCAGCAATCAGGCCAAATCATAGTCAAAAACAAAAAACGGAAACCTAAGCCACTATCAGTGTGTCAGTGTGAGTGTCAGCCTTCAAGTGTTGCATCCTGTACAAAGATATACATCAGAGAGCAGGTTTGCACAGTTGAACAGACAGCTGTTATAGCACTGTGACTAAAATTTCACATTCGCAGTTTGCAAGTAAACATGTACATATTAATCATCACTGATAATGCACAAAAGCTCAAAGACATTTCACGTCATCAGAATTAGAATTACGCCCTCTGATTCTGCTTTCTAAAACCTTTCTCTGCTTTCCATTGGCAGAAAGTGAAAAGGCAGACAACTCAGATTCACGACTGACAGCATATAAAACTCTTTGTTGGTAAAAAGCTTCAACCAGAAAACCATCTGTTTACACAGTCTGCCTTTCATTGTTGCTGAAGCAAAAAAACAGACGGATTCCTTTGGAATCCAGGATTTCTGGTTTTCTGCTCTGGCTCTGTTGTGTGTACGTGTTTGGTATGGCAAATTGAACTTTTGTTTTCACATATATTTGAAGGATTGATTTGTCCTCAATTTAAAACCTAAAGTAGTTCTGTTCAATCCAGCTCTGTAAGCGCTTTCACAGTGCAATGTGTTGTTTTTATCCGGTAAATTTGAGGAAGAGAAAGCTGGTAACGTGTGTTGCTGTTGATATCAGCTGGTTGTTCTGTTTTGTCTGAAGCTAATCATGTCCTGCCACTGCAGATAGCGATTGGCTTAATTTGCAGTCTGGCATACTGTGCAGGAAACCATGTTTTACAGTAAAAGACCGTGGCCATGCCAATCTGCATTAACCAAATATTTAATCATGATCCATCCATTAGGATATTAATGCTGTTTATTAGCTGAGCACACACTGCACAGAGCTCATGTTGTCAGACCTGTGGCCATTTGTATCCACATTTGTTGAATCACAAATTGGATTGTCATCAGAGGCCTCCATAAATCAACCTTAATGAAAATTTACATGCTCCCACAGTCCTGGGCACCTTTTTAATCTGCCGGTGTCACACAACTCAGGAGTCACTCAATGATCAGTGTTCCTGTACGGCAAAATATGATCAATTCTGGAGAAAAGTGTGTTATCTGTTCTCTCTGTGAATCCACAATGTGAATCCACTTATGTAGGCCAGATATACCTCTCTTTTGATTATTCAGTTGACATTTATTATCCTTACAGAAAATTGCTGCCCTTATCAGATAAATTGATGATCATTTTATTTGCAGGGGCTTCTTGATCAATATCATTGACTCAGTGATTACCTCACCCCCCAGCCGAAATTTCTGGCTTTCAAAAGCTCGATAAAGCTTTTTTCTATTTGCGATTTGTGACATGTTCTCTCCTCAGTGGCGTTTCTGCTGCATGCTCTAATTAGTTTGCCTCCTTGCCTATTGTATTGTGAAAATGTGACTTCATTGTTGGAGCCAATTACAGGCCGCAGTCACTTAAGGGAACAAGAGAGGTTGTCCAAGTGAGTTTTGCGTGGGCTTAGGGAGACGTTCTTTGGATGTTAATTGCTGCTGTTCATTAATAAATGTCAAGGGTGACCATGGATCATAGGGTACTTAAAGATCCTGAAAACCAGTTTTCTTAATCAGCTTCTTATTATAAACGAGCCCAACATGAATACAATAATATCCGTCAAAGTAGAATATTTTTTTATATTTATCACTGTTTTGAAGAGGACAGGACTCTTTAGAAGAGGGTATTTTTGTGCACCAATCTGAATTCAACAATATAACACTACTGGCTGTAAACTGGTTGCTGGACAGATACTGTCCATCAAATCTGATCGAACCACTCCCACACAGTCCGAATAAAGCAGATTAGCTGTTTATGAAACTCTTATTTATTTTAAAACCAAGTGTGTTTTTTCCTTTTCTAACCTTAACTATTCTGTCAAAAATAGTCAAAGTGTCCGTGCATGAGTACGGGCGTGGTGATAAAAAAAACGTATAGACAAATATTTGTTCAAGTGAAACCACCATTGAATGCACATTTAAGTGAATTGTTTGACATTTTGGTACATTTTCTCACCTTACTCTCTCTCATAAGTATATTTTGCAAAATGTCGAGCTATTCCTTTAATCACCTTTTAAATTAAACTAATTTTATTTTGCCCCCTCAGTGGTGGTGGTGCTGGCGTTCATCATCTGCTGGCTGCCCTACCACATCGGCAGGAACCTCTTTGCCCAGGTGGACGACTACGACACGGCCATGCTGAGCCAGAACTTCAACATGGCCTCCATGGTGCTCTGCTACCTCAGCGCCTCCATCAACCCCGTTGTCTACAACCTTATGTCACGGAAGTACAGGGCTGCAGCCAAACGCCTGTTCCTGCTGCACCAGAGGCCCAGACAAGCCCACCGCGGCCAGAGACAGCTCTGTGTGAGCGACCACATCTCCACCCTTAATGAAAGCCTGACTGGGGTCTGAGGGGCCTCAGCTCTTACAGGCTCGTTTGACTTCATCACCAAGAGAGAGTTTGCACGGTTCTTTAAAGTTCAGGAGTTGCAGCTAAAGAGGAAACTTGCTGAAGATGTGTAGAGGAGGGATCTTTGTTCCATTTTATGTTGGAGGATGAAAGTAGGGTTGAGAGCTCCACTGCACTTAAAATGCAAAATCAGATTTACTACTACTCAGTGGCAGTTTGCTCACAGAGACTGGATGATTTTCAACCATGTCAGATTTAAAAAAAATGTTGTCAAGGAAATAGAAATTCAGTGGACTCAAGAGACAAAGTTGTCATTTACGTTTTCTTGTTCAAGTGTTACATCTCATGCAAAAATATTTATCTCTACTTTGTGTACCGCTACTTGTTTTTCTTGCTTGGTGCCCGCACTTATTGAACACATCAATCCGCAGCGCTGATTAATAAATTACCCCTCTGTTAATGACAGATGACGTTTGCCACATTCGAAATGACTGTTCATTTATAATGTTTAATTGTAGTCTCGGCTACATTCTGTTGTAAGATTGAATTTGTTTAATGTATGGTGAACAATTGTTATCATACTGTTTGGTTGCTCTCATAAATCAAGAAACACAAAAACAAGTAAACCTATTAGCTGTGGGCCATTAGTTGTTCAGATCTAAAATTATGTGTGTGTGTGTGTGTGTTTGCACGGCTGTGTACCATCTCTCCAGTGAATAGATGGAACATAAACTTGATAAAAGCAAATTACTATGAAAATGGGGAGGTTGTTGTCTGTGTGTGTGATACAGAGGCCACCTGAGCCTTGAGGTTTGAGGCTGCGTACGTGCCGGCCATCACATGTAATCTGACACAGCTATTATATTACCAGGGCTCCGAGCTAGATTTACGCTGGCAGCCAACGTCCCTGCATCACCATATTCAACGTAATGGCTGCTCTAAGTGCATTTCAAAGAGGAAAAAAGATATTAGGTTGTCAGCAGCAGCAGAGCTCATTGCTTTTATTGCTTCCACTTGCATAATCTTGACACCATTGTACAATTCTTCTTTGATGCTGCGTTTTGGATCAGAAATTGTACACTTTTGTACCTCATGCACTCTGGCAAGAAAGGTAACGTCAAAGTTATGTATTTTTAACCTGAACAATGTCTAATCCCAAAATAAACCCAGAGTTTTCCAGGTTCTGTCTACCATACATCTTGTTCTTTAAAAGGAACTGTCGTGATTTTGCCCATGAATCATCAGTCCTTGGTTTGCACAAATACAAAGAGACAAAGTCGCTCTGGGCTGACTCATCCTCCTGACACTTTTTTCACCGAGCCATTCATCTCTGCCAGAGGAGCTGAAGCAGCGTGTAAAAGCTTATATCCTGCAGACCATCCCTGCCATCACCTGGGGAAAGATCAGCAAGCATCACGACTCCTCTGTTGGTTATTTTCTTTACTGATAATGAAGAGAGTGTCTGCGAGCGGCTTGTCCAGAGCTGTCAACACCTCCCTCAGGCCTCCTTCACACCACCTCAAATCATTCAGCTTTAGAAATATACAGTTTGTTTGCTTTGACTCTCCTTTTCAGGCCATGACCTCTATCAGCAACCATCTAACATGCTGCATACGGCATGTCATTAATTGGAAATATAAAACAAATGATAAATATTGATAAAATATGATGACACATTTCCTCAGAGATTTCTTGACGTCATGAGGACTCAAATTCCTGAGCAAAAACACTGTTATTTCAAAAATGAATAGTAATGAAACTGATGGCTAAAATGATATGATATTACTGCTGCAGCTGTTTACACCATCTGTGTTTCCCTCATCTCAGGGTTCTTTACAAATAACATCTTGAGGCCGGTTATTAAGCAACTGAGATAAAAAATATATATGTTTATAATTTGAGCAAAAAACATATTTAAACTGGTTTGCAAGCAAAGTGTTTGGTTGGCTGTGTCTGCCTCATTTTAACATGTGGAAAGTGTTTTATAATTTTGTATAATATACTAAACCTCAAATAAAACAGAGACTACATGGATTTACACATATAATCCCTTATAATACATGCTGCTTTGTTTTGATGTATTATTATTATTATTTTTTCATTTGCATCCATTAGTGGAACTTGCTGCAATTGAAGTTAACCTCTTCTGGGAAGTGAGTGTTTTCTGGCACAGCTGCACAGGCCAACATCATTTCAGTGTAATGGTCTTTTCCACCAGAGGGAGGAGCCAAAGAATAGTGTGTGTATGTATGCATGCATGTGCAAAAAGAAATTACAGCAATATCAAACATTTCCTGGGCTTTATGTTGGCCAAATATTGCTTGTAAACTACATAAACACTTCTATTTTAGGTAAAAGGATTTCAATTCTCCTTGTGAGAAATATTTATGAGCTTCGCCTTTCAGCCCATTTCCACACATCAGCCACACATATTCACTTCCTGTTTGGCTCCCTGTGCATGCTGGTCCATGCGTGTGGCCACAGGAAGCTGCGCTAAAATGGAGGTCCTTTAGGGGAGGGGTCGGCTGAACAACTCTTTCTAGAAAGACTGCAGGTGTTCTCTATATTTCCTGATGGTTTCTGTTGAAGCCAGGCTGCTCTCCTTATGGCCTCTGGTGTCATCTGGTTCTCTCTCCGCCTCCCCATGCCCAAAGCTTTTCCTACCCCAAGCTGTGACTGTGAGGTCAAGTGTTCACTATAAAAAACTCCTATAATGGAGAGCCCTTTTGGTGACCACCTGTTTCGAAGTGGCAGATATTTTATCTTGTGCGAACATAAAAGCCTGAAATGGTCTGTCAAGTTGGCCATCTTGTCCCTGCCACAAAGAGCCAGATGTGTGCCAGCGCCTACTCACTTTCACTTTGCGCTCCTGTTGTCACAGCTGGGTGACAGTAAGACAACAAACACAAATGTGTCTTCGCCTTTTATAAACCACCAGGCACTCCCACAGCGCCTTCGAGTGCCTTTAATGGCAGTAATAATAATGATGAGCTTCATTTATAAAGCACTAATCACCCTGTCTTCTAAAGCTTTTAGTAAACAGTTTCCATTGTTTAATGAACCATGTTACACGCAGAAGAGTCAATGCCCTGTTTCTTTCTCCAAATTAGTAGAGCTTCCAGCTATTTGGAGGCTAATTAATATCTACTCTATCTGTGAAGTGTTTGCGTTTGTTCAACACTTCTTGACATTTGGCCTACTGAGAGAAAAATGTAAACTCGCTAGACAACAGAACCTGGTTATCTGTCAATTTCAAGCCTGTGAAACCAGACCACAGCTTGCTTTTGGCTAATTCAAGTAAACAAGGTGATCAAATCAAGGTGTAAACAGTGTGCCAGTGCCCTAATAAGCACCACCCTAACCCTAAACGCAACATAACCCTAACCCTAATTCTTTTGCCATTTTCAGTCCAATTTTACAAGAACATTTTCAGTGCTGTTTTCTTAGCATTTAACTAGCTATGTGTCTACACGGAGAACAACTAATCTTAATATGATAGATAACTACTTAATACAAAAAAAACAAAAAAAAAAAAAAAAAAAAAAAAAAAAAAAAAAAAAAAAAAAAAAAAAAAAAAAGAAAAAAAAAAAAAAAAAAAACAAAGTGGTGAATGTTTGGAAAAAAGGTCCGGACCTGGTGACCTTCACCATAAGTCGGCGGTATGCAATAAGAAGTAGGTAACTCTGTAGATAAAAATCAGAAGTAGTGGTGAGCCCATTTCAGGCATGTAATGATGTATATTTTTGATATTTTTTGATGTGAACAGATTCAGCAGTTCATTTATCAAACTGAGCGAATATAACAGTACTGTTATTTCTCTCCACCAGGGCTGTGGCCTAAGATAATGTGAGGAATATTGTGTGGTCAATATATCAGTAGGAGAAACAGCCTTTCCTGCAGTTGTGTGGTGTGTTGTTGGTGAGTTAGAAACCAATCCATTAGATGGCTTCTCTACATTCCAACCACAAAGCACTTGAGTGACTGACTCTCCTTTCTCCTGGCTCCAAGCAGAGAGCAGAGTTACTCCCAGAACTTTTAGCCTAACTCAAAGGAAGACTCAGAATGAGACTAATTGACTTAAAAGCAAACAGTAATATGTGCATGCATGCTTGCCAGCTGTGAGTGCCCTGAACTTGAACATGCAAACTGCAGTATATTCAGAAATATGAAAGCAAACTCTTGAAGTGCTCCTGCACATAATAAAGTAGTTACAGGAGGAGGTGAGACTTCAAATGCAGGCATTTCACACATGCACATTAAGGCCTGGACCTAATAAAAAACCTGTAACCTATGGTCCATGTGTGAAGTGCAATTCATTATCCAGCCTATATATATATCCACCCTAAATACTCCTATATGCACTCCATTTTTCCACTTATACATTTGCATTTTGTGTTACTTTAAATTATACTTGATGTAGATGTTGATATGTACTTAAGTTAATCTAATTTTTCTAAATTAAAACGTTTTTTAGAGACCATGCAGGAATTGTAGGATGGTTATAATGATACTATAGAATATGAAAAATGTAAACTCAACCCCAATTGGTTTCTTATGTAGAACAATTATACACAGTGTTGCAGTTTGTGATGCCCCACCTCATACAGCTGAGTCAAGACCAGATGTGAAAAAAAACACTGCCTTCAAAATAAAAGTATACAACTTTATAAGCATGGAGATGAATTCAAGCCATATTGTATATATTTTACAGGTGAAAGTATATTTAAAGGTTAAAAGGGTAAATAGAGAAGTGTGTTATGTGTTATGCCACAACTCACACTGGGAAGGAAAGTGCATTTCTGTGGATTGAAACCTTTAAAAGGTTGCTCTCATCTGGCCACATTCCAATCACTGATGTCACGGCAGGTGTTTTCTATCAGCCAGAAAGGCAAAAGAGGTGGTGACTTAACTCATTTGGGTTGAGGCAAGGAGTAAAACATGCTTAAAGGTTTTGGCTCATAGAAAGCAGGCCTGCAGCATTGCTTGATTAGCACATTTATTTTAGGTGTTTTGTAAATGATTTGATAGGTAACATGTTGTTTTTTTTCACTGGTATTATAGGTTTTGCATTTCTGCCAGACTACTGATGAGAATGTGAGAATTACACATTTGTCTATTAAATTTTCATGCAATTATGTTTACTGGTCAATGAGCATTTAAGCCCCATATGGCCACTAGCAATAATATAACTTAGTAAGTGTATGCACTGTCACTGTATCCATCCAATGTTAAACCCCAACAGCTAAATCCAATAAGGAAGAAATTCCTAGGATGATCTGCATCAGCCAATGGGGATCCTCATAAAATAAAATAAAATAAAATTTACATTGGTTGTAGATGCTCTACACTTGAGTGTTGGGTTGCACCCGCAGTAAATGTCCAGCTTGCATCCGTCGAACCTACCAACCTACAGGAGAAAGAATACATTTGTATGTAGCCCCAGATGTTTAATAATTCAGTGTAACCATCAGATATTCTCTGCTATGCCTCCAGCATCAGTTCTCCAAATTTTATTTTGAAAGTCTTCAGCAGAAGTAGTATTTTTATCTAACCTGGCTGACTTGACAGCGCTGAAAGAGCCAACTGCGCGTAAAAGTTATCCACTCCTCCTTCTCCTCCATGAGGCTGACTTGGCTCCAGATATAAACACAGAGCTGCTCTCTGTCCGCGCTGCGCTCCTCAGTCTCCTCACAACCAGCACGCAGTTTGCTCCCAGAGGCCGAAAAACAGAGAAAAAAAGCAGGAGGGGGACGATCTCTGGCGCATTCCCCAGGATGGAGGTAACAACTATATGACTGAGCGTGGTTTTCTGTCGCAGCTTGTACTTTTAGGCCACTTGAGCAGATGTTTTTTAACGTTTAGTGTGGTTTGTGTTTGAAATTAAAGCATTACATCATAGGAGCCCAGTGAGAGACTTTATTGCATTTTTAATGGTCTGTGTTATTACTGTGATATTTCTGGAGGGACTTGAGCCTGTCAGTGCAACCATTTAACAAATAACAACACTGCATGTATCAATACACCTATGAAGTATTATGTGCACGTGTAGTCGGGTTGGCTACAATAATAGTTCCCAAAGATCTTTACAGTATTCACATCTAAACTTTGATATTATATATGATACAGTATGGAAATGAATTGATACTAATATAAAAGTAATGTTTTTATTAATGACAAGTGATCTATTTTATATATTATGTGTGTGGTATAATAGACTGGTTGCACATGATGTGTGTATGATGTAATTTTAAAAAATGTCTTTCCTGAGGGTGTAGTTGTTCTGTTATTAACAATCAGAATCAGAATCAGAAATACTTTAATAATCCCTGGGGGGAAATTACTTTTTTTTTTTTTTCAGAATCAGAAATAACGCACGTCAGTATTGTCTACAGCTGGTTCTGTTGCCCCAAGTGGCAGAGAAAATGAAATAAGCAAAATTAAAAGCAGGCTTAAGAAGAGTTGTTGCCAGTGTGCAACAACTTGGTGTAATGCTCAAAGCAGTGGGCCTGTAGGCTGACAGACAATAAGAGCTGCTCCCAGTGTGACAGAGAACAGGAAGAGACAGAGCTACTCTTCCTCGCCTCATTCCCCAAATAGCAGGCGCTAAGAAATGAACAATTTATCCTTATTCCTTATATTGTAAAAATAACCCAAAATTTACAGACATAGAGAAACAACCATATTTACTTGGAACCTGGGCAACACAGTTCTCTACTGGTTTCTTTTTAATTCTTAAATTTATTTTTTATTATTTATTATTTTACCATTTTTATTTTTGTTTGTATAGTTTGTAAATCTGTAAATAATTGAGTTTTTATATTTTCCGATTATAACAAGGCTGTATATGATGCTATGCTACGCTACACACATTAACTTTGACACACACACACACACAACTATAACAACTTCACACACACTTCCTCAATTAGTGACACACACACACACACACCAAAAACAAGAACATCAACGCACACACATGCACACACACGCCCATACATCGACTGGAACACACACAACTAACAACATCAACAAACACACACACACACACACACACACACACACACACAAGTTTCTGTTTTCTTGATTTTAGGAATTATAATGTTTGTTTTTTTCTTTCTTTTTTACTCTATAATTTTACAATGCCTTGGCACAATGCCTTTATTACATTAGTACTAATAAAGCCAATTAAATTGAATGGGTGGAAAGCAGATGCTCAAATGTACCACTTGTAGCAAATGGTATATGATTGGTATGTAAACAATAAAATCACAAGCTGGACAAGGCAGCT